GAAGCAAAATAGACTCAATCAAAAGGACCACACTTTTCCACCTCAGTCTTTTTTCTCATCAGGTGTCAGCACCAGTTCCTTGGTGTTTCATAACAGATACACCTGTAGTAAAGCTTCAGTACAGCTTCTGCTCTCTTCTATGTTCTGTGCATTTTTAATGGTCCTTAATAACAGTGTGGCAAACTGCTGAGACCCCAGCTGTGTGGGACAGATGGTTGAGCCTGCCTGCCTGCCTCCTCCATGTGACTCCACTGTAGATCCCACGCAACATGTGACACAGGTCAGGTCTCATACACCCTGACATTAACTTGCTCCAAGCTGGAGGGGGATTTTTAAAAGAGCCCCATGAACTTTCTGTTCTCCTTACAGTCCAAGTCGGGGTTTCCACAGGTACTGTATGTGGTGTTGCCAAGGTTCTCTGAACCTTTTGGAAAAATAACAGTCAACTTTACTTGGACACAGTAACTGCAAATTTAAACAGTAAAACACAAATATGTATTTTGTAGACTTCAGTGGAAAGCAATCTTGACTTTAAATATGAATTAAATCTTTTTGAAACAAAATGCCGAACTGCTAGAGGCACCAGAACTACTAGTCTAATGAATGAACTCACTAACATTCAGTGTGTGGTGAATGGGATTCCACAGGATAGATACTATATTAACACAACAGACTCTTAATTGTACAGTATGAAAACTGTCTTCATGTAAAATTTTCTTCTCCAGCATCAAAATGAGAAGCACAGTTGTACACTCATCACAGAAAACTTACACATGTCAAATTGAGACCTTCAGTCCAGTCAATTAGAGACTGGAGAGGCGGCTGCGAACACGACTTTCAGGAGGAAACAAAGGGTTTCCCCCCTCTTGTAAGAGGTTTGAAACAGGTTTTTCATCTGAGGCAGCTTTCTTTTTGTTATCGTGACTCGCTTGCAGACAGGAAATCGAAATACATGAGGTAGCATCAGACAGGAAGTGTCTGTTTGAATAATAAGGTCGTATGAAGTTTCAACTGGAGTCTCGGCCTAGAGCTCTCAAGCGAAGATTACTGCATACGCATGAAAATATAATTTATTTCTCCTTCCCATTGTTATAAAGTAATTGCTGTTGTTACATAACACCATCACATCAAAACGTTCAGCCGTAATGCTGAGACATAGCACCGGGCACAAAACAGAGCAGACACAGCAGACCGTGTCAGGCAGCTGTGCTGTTTGCATCGTGCGTTAGCAGGTATGCAGGGGAGCAAGGGATTACAGCTGTGACTCTCACAGTGCCTTGTTTTCCTTTCTGTTCTCGGTATAATGAATTTATCGCTTGAAAGTTCTGAGTAATACAACTTTGCAGGTTGGTTGCATTTTCTTCATTTCAATGCGGTGTTGTGTTCAGTAACTGCCCTTATGGAGGTGTAAGGATAAAAGGAGACACGGCGCAGTTCTGTGAAGCTTTGAGATGAGTTTAATTGTGACGAAAATGGCCATTTCCAGAGAACGCAGAAGGAGACGCACACAAGGTGTATCTCTCCCTGTGCACTGAAAAACAAATATTACAGAGTGTTTTATAGTCCGAGTTCGGCTCTGGTCACCCTACGTTCTGACCATGAATGGGTGTTGGAGTGACCATTACCACAGTGCTTCCACTTCTGCCCCAGGGCTATTCCTGATCCTTTCAGCTGTTCCTGAGGGGTCACGTACAGCACCAGGTGTCTGTTTAAAACTCACACAAGCCGGGTCAGGAGTAAAGACCCCAGGCCAGGGGTCAGATGTCTACAGTGAGGACTCATTCAAGTTATTACAGTATTTGCAGGAGTAGAAACCCTACAGGATGGTACTTCTCGGTGTCAACAGCAGGCGAAACGGCACTGTTGGTGACCACCCAGCTGCAGGGAAGGGGTAAAGGAAGTTGCCCTCCATGCAGTGAGGAGTTGGTTGCAGTGTGTTTCACACAGGGCTGCGTGGCATCCCGGCTGTTAGTGCTGGTGCCTCGCAGCTCTGGTGACCTGGGATCCTTTTCTGGGATGTGGCGCCTTTCTGTGTGGAGCTCCTGTGTCAGTGGGTTCTCTAGTTTTCCTCCCGTCTCTCAAACACACGCCGGTAGGCTGGTTGCCTGAGCTGTGTGTCGCTGTAGCAGCCAGGAGTGGGCCCTCCATCCCTGTCTCGAGTAGCTCTGCTACAGTGCCAAACCTGAAATAAATGGGATGAGGTTCAGCAGGGGAAGGACTATGTCCTTTTCACAGGAAAGAAAGGACGCCCATATTTGTACTGTGTGCCACCAGCTGGAGCTCCTATGTTGCTGTTACCATAGCGTTGCCACGGTTACAGATGTCAAATTCATTCTTTCCTGGATGCTTTTGTCCTTCTTGTTTCCCTAAACCTTGTCAGACACATCTTTTTGTTCCCAAATATATGTAACGGTTCCTCTGAAGGCAGTCTGAGCTGGCCAGCTTTATCATTGTTTTCGTGGCTGCACAGTTATGTAACCATTGATTAGCCTTCTCTTGGAAGGCTGACAAGAGACCATCTCATCTTGTCTTTACAGGCCACAGGGTGCCTAGTTCGAATCAAAGCTAGGGCATTTTGATTGTGGTTCTTTTTTTTGTTTAGCTCGACTAAATTCTTGCTCCTCCTACCTCCGTTGAAACAGTTGAAACAGAATCTGCAGCCTCAGATGTGGTGGATTAGAAATCATCAAAATGTTTGTGTTTGTCTTTCAGAATACAGGCCAAAGTTTTTTTGTTTTTTTTTTATGGTGTACATGTGTTGCTGTGCTTGATAATGTGAGTCATAGCTGTAAAACTGCGGCAGTAATTTAAAACCTGCAAGGCGCGTCAGTCAGGAGAAATATCCACTCGAAATCGGTGTCATGGCACGCAGCTATTAGGACAGTAGAGAGCATTGCTTTTGTTTCGGCAGAGAAGTGCGAGATAGATATGCAAATGATTACCCAATGTAGACTATTTTTTCCCCTTTATTTATAAAAATGATTCTTGTATAATGTAGGAGTATTGCACTACCACCCCCTCTTGTGTTGTTGGTTCAGCTTCAGTTTTCAGTGTTTGTGTTGCAGTTTGGGGTTTAGGAGCTTGCCCAGGAGTTTTCTGTCTGTAGAAATCAAACCCATGTGGAGGCAGAGAGTTAGTGTGGAGCAGTTCGGTGAAGAGACGGTGCCTGGGAGTCAGGCAGCAGGCGTCAGGGCTGCTGAAGAGAGAGCAATGACCATATTGCTGTACAGTTGCTATTACTGTTTATCCCTGTGAACTCATCTCCAGAGCCTCAGAAAATATACTTACCTACGACACTTAGAGCTGTTGTTGTTTTAACCGTCGTCATTCATTAATTTGGCACTCAGAATTGTTCTACAAAACCCTGAACTTAACACCTTTTGTAAATTTAATGCTGGGAGACAGCTAGTGTGTGTCAGTCTGCACATGCAACTGCTCCTCGGCGAGCCTCTTGCCCTGGAGTTGACACCGAGACACAGCTCCGATGGCAGTCTGACAGATAGGGTCAGGCCTGCGTGGGCTCTAAGATGTTCAGAAAGAGCAAAGAGAGACGAGACAGGGAAAGTGAAAGCCAGGGGGGGCTGGAGCCCAGTAGATTCAGTGTGCTGCAGCAGAGCTCCACTGTCTGCATGAGGAGGGGAGTTCAGGCCCGGGCTGGAGTTCTTTCGAGAGAGAAGTGGCTGACGTTTCGTTATTCCACTGCGCTTGCAGAGCTCGATTGTTTCAGTTCCTGCTTTTCAGGAAAAACCCTGAAATTAAAAAGACCAGACGCAATATACGAAATGGAATTTTGGAAGAAGGTCAAAACAAACAAAAAGTTTTTTTTTTTTTCGAGCATCTGTAAAGGCCCTGGGTATTTTTTTGCCTGGAGTCCTCACTGAACAAAGCAGACAAACACAGCTTGCTCCTGAGCGTCATGCAGGACATGCGCTCTTATCATACTTTGTGGTGCAGACTTGTAGGGAAACACTGTACAGTTCCTGTGTTTTTATGGTGGCGTTGTAGGGAGGTAGTTAATTTCAAAATGGCAGGGCTTGAGCACAACAACTGTCATACGCTGTGTGACCAGGAGAAACTGGGCTGCAGTTGACTCCGTGAGTAAAGCTGTTCGCAAGAGCAAAGGAAGAGCTTGCGAAACTGACCCTGAGTCACGTGATGAGCTGACCGTGACTGGGGTGCCCCAGGCTTCACCGAGGGTGGGGCTGGTATCCCTTCACCAAGGCGTTCCCAGCTCCCTCTCTCAACTTCCTGGGAGCCTCCGGACTTGCAGTGATGTACTATGTAAACCAGGGATGAGCCTTCCCTCCGGTCAGCAACCACCGTCCTGGACGTTCCCGCAGATCTTTCAGCGAGTGAAAACACACGTGGCTCAACGGGAGCGCAGGTCAGGGCGCCGAGTTTGCCCCTCCTCATGAGAGCCGCTGGCGTGAGCCGAGATGAAAAGGAGCGATTTGTAGATCCATATCCATATCCATAGAATTAAAAAAATTCTGACTGTAAAAGTAAGACTACAATCCCATAATCTCTGTGGAGCACATTCACAGTGTAGATTCAGTGTCCTGTGTCTCTCTGTGGAGACTCTGTGGAGCACATTCACAGTGTAGATTCAGTGTCCTGT